TATCGGTAGGTGCTGTTATATGGGGCCCATGCGAAGGCGTGGACCTCCACGACAATTTTCTGTCATAGGCTGTAATATCCATTACGAACTTCAAATACCAAATTTGAAACCATTCCGGTGAATAATGTCCTTAAATTTGTCAAAATATGGGGGCAGGGGTAGCTATACGATATCATGGACCTATATAGACATTTTTCTTCCAGGAGGTAATGTGCTTAGAAAGAACTTCTAGTATGGATTTTCCTACAATTCCATTGAAAAATGTAGCTAAAACCATAAAAATACCGAATATACGGAGGTGCCTTTATATAGAGGATATACGATACCCTGGACATATATAGGCAATACTCTTTCAAGGGGTAATGTACTCAGAAGAAATTCCTTCTGTGGATTTTCAGATAATTTCATTGAAAAATTTGGCTACAATCATCAAAATACCGAATATCGGGGGGTACGGTTATATGGGGATATACGATACCGTATACCACTATAGTCCATCTTCGAACTTGACCTGACTTTAGACAAAAGACTGATCTGTGCAAAATTTTATCTTCCTATCTTAATTCGTTTTGACGTTTTTGGCGTGATTAAAACAGACGAACGGACGGACAGAGCTAAATCGTCTTCTGGAATTTTACGCTGATCAAGAATATTTATAGTTTGTTCGGTCTTAAGTTCTTAATTCGATGAGTTACAAACGAACTAAATACACCCTCCATACTATGTATGGTGGAGGGTATGAAAATCACATGCAATGTGGTGAAAATCATCAAAACACCAAAAATAGGTATGTACCGTGATATAGATAGAGGCTATAGCAATGCATGAACCTATATAGCCCACTGGAAACACAATATATTCGGCAATTATCAGTCATAGACTAAATTTGTGTGGTTCTGAAAAAAAAAATTGATAAAAAATAACAAATATTCAATATCAATTTCAAGTCCAGGGGGTGTGTTTCTTGATAACCTGGCTTATCTGTTGAAAATTTGAACACCTGATATATTTGTCGAAAAAATATGGAAATTGGCAATATATGTATGTATAGCTTGCAAGATCAAATTACTTGCATTATTTTGAGTTCCCTACGGTTATCAAAATAATTTTAGAACAATAACAAATGGAATGTTCTTCAGAAAACGATTAATTTTATAAATTTAGACCAGACTGAGCGACCAAATTTAATTGTTTCAATAATTACAGGAAACCCCCAGCAGATTTTGAAAGTACTGCTACGTTTTAGAAGGTTACGATGAAAAGTAACCTAAATAAAGGGGGCAAGTTTCCCCCTTTTCCACACTTTAGGACATTTTCGGATTAAGATTCCTCGGAATCCATGTACATACCTAAAGTGGTATCTTCGTCAATATTGCGGATAACAATTCGAGGATTATTTAGGAATTTGAACCCTCAAGCGAGTCAAGAAAGTGGTCAACATTCGTCCAGAGCAGAGATTTGCTCATTTTCCCTCAGGAGCGAAACTTGCCCGCGAGCAGGATTGCTCGAAGAGTGGGAGTTTTTACGGACTCCACTTTTCACTATTTTGTTTTTGTGTGAAAGCACTCTCGAGTCACTCCTGTTCGAAAAATTAGAATGGAAGCAGACTCTCTCAAAAAGAGCAAAAGTTTGTTATAAGAGTTAAAAATATTGGAAAAAATGTTTAATATTCTGATGTGCTTGCAACATCAAACGGGTCTAATGTTGCTGTGTACTGAAGAAGACGGGGAAGAGAACGATATAACAAAATTAATTGAGTGTTCGGCAATAGTAGAATCTGCTCGATTTTACTCCCACTCAAAAAGCAGCTACCTAACTCCGAAATTAATGCATTGCGTACAGCGTCTAATGTTCATCCGGAAGATGTTAAAAAACCATCTGATTTCTATATTTTGTAAGGAACCCATGTCTATCCTATAATCGGACTCAAAGTAGAGGGTAATTGACGCAGTTCTTCCTGTTTCACGCAGTGTGTGCAAAAATAAAGAAATATACAACCACGCCAATTCAATATGCCAGGTAAGTTTCTCTACCGGAATAGCTGGTACTTCTAAACAATCCCATATTTAGGATCCTCTTGAATTAATTTATTTTGGGTGGCTTAGTCATATTTTTACCCTCAGCCATATGGCTAGAGAGGGTATATATCATTTAATACGGCCAAAAAGTGCCTCATCGAAATAACGGTTTTAGACCCTAGGACCAAATCTGTTTCAGGAGTCGCTCTAATGATGTCCGTACGTCTTACTGTCTGTCTGTTGACTGGTTTGCACGTCAACTTTCGAAGTTAGTATCCGCTATGGTCCAAACTTGGCGCATTGTATTAGTATTATCGAGTTCGGGGAAGAGCAATATCTGTCCACTACTTCTCGTACCTCCCTCACAAAAGATTGAAATTTTCGAAGAAAACAATTTACTGCACAGTAAGAGATTATCCGATTTTGCTTGTATATCTGCGTTCGTGCTAGATCAGATGCGAAAATGGACGGTCCAGTCCATCAAGTAACTTCCCCACAAGGGTTAAAATTTTGAAAAATTATGTAAGAGCCCGATTATATTCAAATTACACATGCCATAATATTTTTATTATCCCAAGGTTTGGTGTGAAGATGGGATATATCGGTCCACTCCGCCCTCAAATGGTCAAAATTTAAAAAAAAAATATACTTTCTGCACAGAAAGAGAAACTATAATCCAATATTGCTCCAACTTTGAAAATTCTAATATTTGCATCAGTGCTAGGTCAGGTGCGATAATGGTCAATATCGGTCCACTCCATCAAGTACCTCCCCCACAAAGGGTCAAAATTTTTAATAATTACGACTATTAAAAAATGTGATGTAAGAGTCCGATTGTCTTCAAATTACAAACATCTCAATACTATTAATAATACAAGGTTTGGTGTGAAAATGGAATATATCGGTGTCCACACTTTTTGGTACCTCCCCCACAAAGGTTCAAAATTTTGAATATCCATAAAACCCAAAATTAATATCCGACTCTATTCATTCTTGGCACATCTTAATATTTCTATCAACTCAAGATCTGTTATAAAGATGGTAGAGATCGGACCATTTCTTCTGGTACCTCCCCCACACAAGGTTAAAGTTTTGAATAGCCAAAACGATTATAAAATCTGAATTCTCCTCATATTTCAGACATCCCATTATCTCTACTAACACAAGATTTGCTGTGAAGATGAGATATCTCGGTCCACCCCTTCTGGTACCTCCCACACAAAAAATTTTTGAATAACCATGAAACTCATAGAACTCATTGAGACTTGGAACATCTCAATATTCCCATCAACACAAGATCTGTTGTAAAGATGGTGGAGATCGGACAATTTCTCCTGGTACCTCCCCCACAAAAGGACAAGGTTTTGAAACACCAAAATGATTATAAAATACGAAATAAGCATCCGATTCTTTATATATTCTTTATACCCTCTACCATACTATAGAGGTTATATTAACTTTATAATTCCGTTTGTAACTCCTCGAAATACTCATGTCAGACCCAACGAAGTATATATATTCTTGATCAGCGTAAAATTCTAAGTCGATTTAGCGATGTCCGTCTGTCTGTTTGTTGTAATCACGCTATCTTTCGAATGAATTGATAGATGGCTAAAATTTTGCACACATGTTTATTTTTCCAGTAGGCCATGTAGGTCCACGTTTTCATATAGCCCCCATACAACGGTACCTCCCGATATTCGGTATTTTGATGATTTTAGGGACATTATTCACCGGAATTATTTCAAATTTGGTAGTTGAAGTTCAAAATGGATACTACACTCTAAGACAGAAAATTGTCTGTGCAGGTTCACGTCTTCGTATAGCCCCCATATAACGGTACCTCCCTATATTCGGTATTTTGATGATTTTAACGACATTATTCACGGGAATTGTTTCAAATTTTGTATTTGAAGTTCCTTATAGGAACTACAGTCTGTGACAGAAAATTGTCTGTGCGAGTCCAGGTTTTCGTATAGGCCCCATATATCAGTACCTCCCTACATTCGGTATTTTGATGATTTTAGGTACAGTACCCACCGAAATTGTTTGAGATGTGGTATTTGAAGTTCGTAATGGATGCTACAGCCTGTGACAGAAAATTTTCTATGCTGGTCCAGGTCTTCGCACAGCTCAAATTTAACGGCACCTCCTTATATACGATATTTTGATGATTTTAGCTACATTATTCACCGTTTATTTCAAGTTTTGAATTTGAATATGGTAATGGCCCCATATACCCCAATATAACGGCTATATTCGGTATTTTAAAAATTTTTAACAGAATTTTTTAAGGATTTTTTTTTTTTTGAAAATTTCCAAATTCGTTGCAAATGGTGGAGGGTATTAAAACTTACTGCTTTTTAACTTGTTTCTACTAACACAAGATCTGCTGTGAAGATGGGATATATCGGTCCACTCCTTCTGGTATTTAAATAATCCAACATTGGCTGAGGGTATACATCTGATATCGACTGATACTTTTTTACTTGTTTTCAAATTGTTCTAATCGATTTGACTGAATATTTGTATTTTACTTTCTTCTGGGGTAAATTGCGGTATTATACTCTTTAAAGGCTCTAATATAGCAAAAGGTGTTGTCTAGTTCCCATGAGTTTTGATACGGTTTAATTTTGTCGTCAACTTAGGCCCTGACTGCTAACCAATGAAATCAAAACCTCAAAATGACTAGAATTCAGTTTCTTCCCTCAAAATCCACAACGATTTGAATTTATTTAGATCCGGTCGATTTGCTTTTCTTATTGAACCACAAAGTTCTATATATCACACAACGGCACGAATACATTCTCATTGTGACCCAGAAACTTGAGTGGGCGAAATGAACAGCAATGCGAATGCCATAATCTCAAATGCAACGTTAATGTGGAATATAATTTATAATGAAATTTCATATTTTAATCGAAGGACCAATTGTAACATAAATCATACACTTCACAATGGTCCTTGCCATGCCATACTTACATTTAAATATTTCCGCAATACTTGTTATCCATTTGCACCCACTTGTGGTCGATTAAAATTCACTTTTTTCTGAAAATTCTATTGAAATACTTTCTCCCAATTTTTAAAATTTCACTCAATTTACAATTTCACCCAAAACAATTCACACTTCTCAATATCAATAATAAGAATCTACATTCATCATTATGATCGGTATGGTAATCATTAATTCAAACAATGAGTAAGTGGCATGTTTTCAATACACCGACGACGACGACATCGACGGCGAATGATCGATGTGGAACAGTGAGCAATGAATACACAGCATGGAGAGCGCCTGAAATCACCTCAAACTCTCTCCGTAGCCTCTTATCAAGTTCAAAGCTCCAAAATTGTCTAAAAAGAAATGTGTTTCTTCTTCTTGCCGGCCTTATCTTGATGGAAATTCGTTGTGTTGGAATATATTTTCCTTCCTCTTTTTTCTTCGATTTTCGTTTACTTTTGTGGGGAAAACTTTTACTCGATATTATTGTTTTTCGTCTTTTCTTGTTATTATGTTTTCATTTCCACGCGCGACCGTCAGTCATGCCGTTGAACATTTCTTCGCTTGCCACAATCTAATAAAAAAAACCCGTTTCGATCTGCAACTTGTTGCAACGACGACACACCAATTTGTACTGAGGAAAATAATCGACATTCATAGGCAACAGCGCGCGACATTGCTTTGTTGGACGACGCGTCGTAGTCGTCGCACTGGTATGAACTCACACACAGCCAAACGTGCACACAGTCTGTGTCATAACAAATGCCGAACGTTACCAATTTGGGTGATTTCGACCAGAATGCAGAGAAGGTTTTTATTTGAATTTTGGTCGAATGAACTTTTAAGCAAGTAAAAAAGTAAAAAGTTCCGCAGGGCCGAACTTCGTGAAAAAATGTGAAAAAACATCAAAATACCGAATATCGGGAGGTACCGTTATATGGAAGATATACCAAAATGTGGACCGATATATCTCATTTCAATACCAACCATCCTAGACACAATACAAATTGTTCTGCTAAATTTTGACGCTCTACTTCAAATAATGTGGGCTGATTTCAACAGGCAGACAGACGGACGGAAGGGCAGACAGACGGACATCATTAAATCGAATTAGAATGTTATGCTGATTATGAATATATATACTTTGTGGGGTCTACGATGAATATTTAGGGTTGTTACACACGGAATGACAAAGTTAATATACCCTCCTTTCAAAGGTTCAGGGTATAAAAATAGGTGAATAATGTAGCTATAGCTATACCAAAACGTTATAGGCTGCAGTATCCATTATGAACTTCAAATACCAATTTGAAACAATTCCGGTGAATAATGCCGCTAAAATCATCAAAAACCGAATATCGGGAGGTGCCGTTATATAGGGGCTATGCGAAGACGAGGACTTGCACAGACAATTTTCTGTCTTAGGCTGTAGTATCCATTATAAACTTCAAAAACCAAATTTGAAACAATACCGGTGAATAATGTCGCTTAAATCAGCAAAAAATTATATATGTTTATATGTGAGCTATACCAAAACGTGGACCTACATGGCCCATTTTTAATATCAAAAGTTCTGCAGACGTAATATACATTTAAGATATAAGAAGAAATGGTCCGATCTCTATCAACTTGTGATCTTGTGTTGATGGAAATATTGAGATGTGGCAAATCTGAATGGAATTTATGACCTTCATTGACACTTAAAATTTTGACCCTTTCTGGGGGAGGTACCAGAAAAGTGGACCGATATATCCCATCTTTTCAACATACCTTGTGTTAATAAAAATATTGTGTATGTATGTAATTTGAAGATAACCGGGTGCTTATTTCGAATTTTATCATCGTTTTGGTTATTCAGAATTTTAAACCTTTTCGGGGCAGGTACCAGAAGGAATGATACGATCTCTACAATCTTTATAACATATCTTGTGTTGATGAAAATATTGAGATGTGGCAAGTCTGAATGAAATCGCATGTTAATTTCGTGTTTTTTAAACCTCATGGCTAACCAAAATGTTGGTCATTTGTGGGGGATGTACCAGAAGGTGTAGACCGATATATTCCATCTTCACACCAGACCATTAGTTAATAAAAATATTGTGATGCGCGTAATTTGAAGCCAATCGGACTCTTACATCACTAAATTATTCAACATTTTGACCCTTTGTGGGGTATGTACTTGATGGAGTGAACCAATATTGTCCATTTTCGTACCTGACATAGCACTGATGCAAATATCAAAAATTCGCAAAGTCGGGGCAAAATCGGATTATGCTTTCTCTTTCTGTGCAGTAAATTATCTTCTTTGAAAAATTTACATTTTGTGGGGGAGGTACTCGAAGGAGTGGACCGATATTGCCCATTTCCGAACCCAACCTAAGTTTGATATAATATTACGATATACCAAGTTTGATTCAAATCGGATACCATGTCCGTATGAAATGATATATACCCATTTGGCTGAGGGTATAAAAAAAGAACCTTTATCTAAAGAAAGAAAAAGTAAAGCTATCGAACGTTTTGTATTCAAAAAGATTTCTTAAAAGCTCTGCTATCCTGGTGGGAATAAAAAACTTAAAGTCCTTGTTCTTAGGTGTTGCAGTGCTGGCGTATTGCATCAATTCATTGGCATTAGCTGGTCGAGTAGCCGGGTTCTTTGCGACATCTACCAAATAAGACAGACACAAAATATACCACACATGCTAGTCTAAACCAGAACCAGTAAGGAAAGATCAACAGTCGGGCGCGGCCGACTATATGATACCCTACACCACCATGCGTACCGAACTTGACAAAATTTGAAACACTTATTTCAGACCTGTATCTGAAATCTTGTACCAAATATCATTGTTGTCGAATGTATATTGCGAATGAGAAGGACTATAGCTATATCTGAACCGATTTTCACCAAATTTGAAGCACCTACCTTTAGGCTGAATTCCATCGAAAGTGCCAAAATTATTTGGTTATTTGGATTTAAAATGGCCATTCGATGCACAACAAACCTTATAGCGGATAAAGATATATATGGGAGCAAATCTTAACCGATCTTGGCAAAATGTTAGGCACTAATTTCTGATCTATATCTGATTTCTGGTACCAAAGATCATTATTGAGGGGTGCATATTACGCATGTGAGGGACTTAAAACACCAAATCGATTAAAACATATATATGGGAGCTATATCTATATCTGAACCGATTCTCATCAAATTTGATATACTTGCTTATAAACTGAATTCGGTCGTATGTGCCAAAATTGAGGTCGTTTGGAGTGATATTGGCCATTTGCTGAATAATTAACCCGAAATCGGTTGAAGCTATATATAAATTTGAACCTATTCTCACCAATTTCAAAAAGTTTCGACCTTGGGTCAAACAAATATTGTTTGGAAAATTTCATCTCAATCAGTTAACAAATTCGTCCTGCATTTTGTTCACAAAAATACATCGACAGACTGATTAAGATGCATAAATCAACTCAGAAAGCGGTTCTATGAAGATCCTCAAAAGTAACTATGAGTCTATCTCGCTGCCTTTTACATGTTACAAACAAATGCCCAAAGACATAATACCCTTACCACTATGTGGTGCAGGGTATAAAAATAAATACTTATCTCATGGTTGTGGGTTTGGGCCCCAAGTTGGGCGCCATTTTGTATTCGGTGGGATTAAAAAAAATAATATTTCATTTTTTGGTCATGACTCTCAAAACGAGCAGCATGGCAGCACTGTCTATAAAAATATACTGCCACAACAACAACAACATTAGGGCACATTTTTATAGAACATTATTATCATCATCGCCACAGTCATCATCATCGCCTTCGTCGTCGTTGTTGCGGCTTTGATGCGCAACAACACTCCCCTCCATGGATCGGAAACATTATTTTATTCCTTTATTTTACTCTCTGTAATTTACGCAGCTGATTTGATTTGTTTTGGGATTTATTGCCACTTTTGGGGTAGAACGTCGTCATACATCGATACAAACATACATAGTAGGTATGTATGTGTGTGTGAGTGAATTTAGAATTTTCTCGTTGGCTGAACTTCACATCGATATGACCATCCTCCATACAAAAAACAAACAAAGAATGATTCTTAGTTACTCCGTTTATTTGGTTCTTTTTTCATTACTTTATAGTCTCCCCTTCTACGCATTCCCCTTTCAGAACATTATTGTTGTTGTTGTCGTTTTTTTCTAGTTCATATACTGGTAGTGCACTCTTTGGCGGCTAGGGCATACTTGGAACAACAAGATTTTATCTGTTGTTATGCTTTTATTATCTGTCTTTTTGGATTGTTTGCTCATGGGGTTATCTTGCCGCAGGAAGGGGGATAGTGTGATAATTTTGGGAAATCTTGACCCTGAGAAAAATTCTTTAAAAAATCCACATTTATTGGCCAAACAGACCTTGAGAAAAATGCTTTAAAAATACACGTTTATTGGTCAAACAGACCTTGAGATTTTTTTTTTTAAAAAATCCACGTTTTTTGGCCAAACATACCTTGAGATTTTTTTTTTTTTAAAAATCCAAGTTTATTGGCCAAACAGACCTTGAGAATTTTTTTTTTTTAAAATCCAAGTTTATTGGCCAAACAGACCTTGAGAATTTTTTTTTTTTAAAAAATCCAAGTTTATTGGTCAAACAGACCTTGAGAAAAATGTTTTAAAAAATCCGCTCTTATTGGCCAAACAGACCTTGAGAAAAATTCTTTAAAAAAATCCACGTTTATTGGCCAAACAGACCTTGAGAAAAATTCTTTAAAAAATCCACATTTATTGGCCAAACAGACCTTGAGAAAAATGCTTTAAAAAATACACGTTTATTGGTCAAACAGACCTTGAGAATTTTTTTTTTTTAAATCCACGTTTATTGGTCAAACAGACCTTGAGAATTTTTTTTTTTTAAATCCACGTTTATTGGTCAAACAGACCTTGAGAATTTTTTTTTTTTAAAATCCACGTTTATTGGCCAAACAGACCTTGAGAAATTTTTTTTTAAAAATCCAAGTTTATTGGTCAAACAGACCTTGAGAAATTTTTTTTTAAAAAATCCGAGTTTATTGGTCAAACAGACCTTGAGAAAAATGTTTTAAAAAATCCGCTCTTATTGGCCAAACAGACCTTGAGAAAAATTCTTTAAAAAATCCACGTTTATTATTTATTGGCCAAACAGACCTTGAGAAAAATTCTTTAAAAAATCCACGTTTATTATTTATTGGCCAAACAGACCTTGAGAAAAATTCTTTAAAAAATCCACGTTTATTATTTATTGGCCAAACAGACCTTGAGAAAAATTCTTTAAAAAATCCACGTTTATTGGCCAAACAGACCTTGAGAAAAATTCTTTAAAAAGTCCACGTTTATTGGCCTAACAGACCTTGAGAATAATTCTTTAAAAAATCCACATTTATTGGCCAAACAGACCTTGAGAAAAATTCTTTAGGAAATCCACGTTTATTGGCCAAACAGACCTTGAGAAAAATTCTTCAAAAATCCACGTTTATTGGCCAAACAGACCTGGAGAAAAATTCTTTAAAAAATCCACGTT